TTTTTCCATGCACTTTCAAGTACTCTGCAATCTCATCCTTAATGGACTCTCAAACTGTCCAATGATCAAAGTCAGACTAACCAGCCTATAGTTTCCTGTCTTCTGCCTCCCTCCCTTCTTAACAGGGGTGTTACATTACCTATTTTCCCGTATTCTGCGACCCTTCCTGACTCCAGTGATTCCTGACAGATCACTACCAATTCCTCTACAATCCCTGAGGTATAGTCTGTCTAATCTGGCTGATTTATCTATCTTCAGATCTTTCAGCTTCCTTAGCATCTTCTCGTTAGTGATGGCCACTACACACTCCTCTGGCCCCTGACTCTATCAAAGTTCTGGTTTGCTGCTGGTGTCTTCTGTAAAAATTGATACAAAGCACCTCCTCAGTTCCTCTGCCATTTCTTTTTTCTCCATTATTACGTCTGTATTAAATTATGGCTACCACTTGGCCACCCATTCTGCTAGCTTTTCTATGTCTATTGCAGTCAATTCATGTCATCCTCATTGTTTACTGCCTCAAGTTTGGTACTGTTGGCAAATTTTGAAATTTTACTCTATTCCAAATTCCAAGATAACATGAAAATGGTGACATTGGTTTCATTGATACCAATCAATGAAAGTACACTGGCAGGTACAGCAAGCAATTAGGAAGGTAGATGGTATATTGGCTTTCATTGCAAGAGAATTTGAATACAGAAATAGTGATGTCTTAATGCAATTATACAAGGCCTTAGTGAAATCACACCTGGAGTATTGCATATGGTTTACTTTTCCATACGTAAGAAAAGATATACTTGCATCAGAGGGAGCGCAGTGGAGGGTTCACTGTGCTGATGGGCACTACTATCCTCTGTGGAGAGTTGGTGCAACTGGGCCTGTATTCATTAGAGTTTAAAAGGATGAGGGTGGATCTGATTGAAACGTGTAAAATTCTAACCAGTCAGATTGACTAGATGCAGAGAGGGTGTTTTCCCTATTTGGGGAGCCTAAAACCAGGGATCAGAGTCTCAGAATATGGTATAGACCATTTAGGAGGGCAGTGAACCTGTGGCGTTCTCTAACCCAGAAAGCTGTAGAGGCGAAGCCACTGAATATATTCAAGAAAAAGATAAAAATGCATATTGTCAAGAAGTATAGGAAGAAAACAGGAATATGAGATAGAGGATCAGCCATATCATATTGAATAATGGAGTAGGCTCAATGGGCCGAATGGCCTACTCCTCCTTGTTTCTATGTTTATGACTAGACAAGTCAAATCACAATGAAACTGGCTTGAAAAATTTGTTTTTGTTTGGTCAGAATTCTAGTTAGTCATGGAGGACATATTCGCAGGAGCTGTAGATTTTCTTTACTTTCAGAACAGAAGTTTATTTCACAAAATAAAGGAAAACAATTGAATTTAGCTATCTAAATATAGAAGACAGTTAGAAAGATCTCTAAGTAAGCAGGAGAACAAAGTTTTGAGCTGTTTTTTGACACAGTCCATCCTCTGGGTGAAAGAAAATTTTCCTCGTATCCCCTCTAAACCTCCTGCCCCTAACTTTAACTCTATGCCCCATGGCCATTGATCCTTCACCAAGGGGAGAAGTTTCTTCCCATCTACTCTTGATATGTCCCTCATAATCTGAAATATCTTCATCATATCCACCCTCAGTCTCCTCTGCTCCAAGCAAAACAACCCCAGTCTATCCAATCTCTCTTCATAACTAAAACTGTATCGCCCATGCATCATCCAGTGCAGTCATATCCCTCCTATTTGTGCCTTTCAGTATGGCACACAGTACTCTAGTTGTGACCTAACCAACTTTTTATACAGACCAGCACAATCTCCCTGCTCTTAAACTCTATTCTTCAGTTAATAAAAGCAAGTATGCCTTCTTAACCATTTTATCTACTTGTACTGCTACCTTAAACGACCAGTGGACATGCATATCAGGTCCCACTGATTCTTGGTGCTTCCCAGGGCCCCACTGCTCATCATGCATTCTCTTGCCTTTTTTGTCCTGTCTAAGTACATCTCTTCACACTTATCCAGATGGAATTCTATTTGCCACTCATCAGTTCATCTGATCAGCTGGTTTATATCCTCCAATAATCTAAAGCTATCCTCCTCACTTTACCACCCACAAATTTTCATATCATCGACAAACTTACTGATTTCTTTTTGCGGTGAACTCCAGAGGTGAAGTGAGGTGAGATGACAGCCCTTGACATCCAAGGTCAAATTTGACCAACTGCGGTATCAAAGAGCCCTAGCCAAATGGAATCAATGGGACTTGAAACTCTCTACAGGTTGGAGTCATACCTGGCACATAGGAAGATGGTCATGGTTGTTGGAGATATTTCCAGACATCTCTGCAGGAGTTCCACAGGGTGATATCTTAGGCCCAACCATGTGATGGAATACCCCCCACCTGCCTGGGTGAATGCAGCTCCAACAGTATTTAAACTTGACACCATCCAGGGCAAAACAGCGCGCTTGATTGGCACCACATCTACTTTGTCCAGCATCAACATTCAATAACAGCAGTGTGTACTACCTGCAGGATGCACTGTAGAAGTTCACCAAAGATCCTTAGACAGCAGCTTCCAAACCTGTCATCACTACCATCTAGAAGGACAAGGACAACAGATATACGGGAGCAACACCACCTGCAATTCCCCTCCAAGCCACTCACCATCTGACTTGGACATATGTTGCTATTTCTTCAATGTCGTTGGGTCAAATTCCTGAAGTTACCTGTCTATGGCATTGTGAGCCTACCTACAGCCCATGGACTGCAGCAGTTCAAGAAAGGAGCTCATCACCACCACCTCATGGGCAACTAAGGATGTGCAATAAATGCTCGCCCAGCCAGCAATGACTGTGTACTGCAAGTGAATGAAAAAAACACTATGGAAACAATTTGAGTTCTTTCCAAGTCAATTGATATCAATTTGTCACAATTCTGAGAGCCTAAACCTTCTCAGTTTTGAATAATCTATAGGTTTCTGACTAGACTCTCCTGGTTTGGAACGTTCACAGACAAAACCCCTTTCTGCTAATGTGACTGCTTCCCTGAACAACAACTCAGAGAAACTAAGCTTGCTTCTGCAGTCAATGATGGTATCTTCTGAACTGAACTTTAAATAATGTTCTACTGTTGACCTCGATGTTGCTGCTACTTGTCATCTTTTCATTAATGCCACAGGGTCTGCAGTCACCTTGCTGACATACTGAATTTTGGTCCCTGTTCAGGAAGGACACTGACCTTATTTTTTTTCTCCCCCAAATGAAAACCTTCCACAGTACTAGCCAGCACCCATCTGCCTCAATTTGAAAGCCAAAACTGAAAAATATTAATGTGAATTGTACATATTTAATTAGTTAACCAGCTTTCTTTGTAGTAACTTGTCACACATTTTAAAATTCTGTTAACATGAAAATGCTTGTATTTGTTTTGACTTGGCAAAGGCAAGGGCACTTTTTTAATGCCTGGGGCCAGATATTTAGATCCCATACTAGGTCTGTTTTCAGCAGAGGCGCCTGTGTAAAAGTGCTGGAACTCAGCCCACCACCTTCCAGCCCACGCCTGAGCTCAGCTCTATTATATGGATGGTACCGTATATAAATTAACAATTAAAAGTTAATTGAGCTTGTTAAAAGCTCAGTTGACCCCTTTGTTACAGTGCCCATGCCATAATGCAAATGTTGGGTGCAATCGGGTAGAATTGGGCAACCTGTTGTTTTCTTACCAGATTTTGAGTGTAGGAGGAAAGAGGAATGCTACCTTCAGAGGCAGCCCATCATCCATTCAAGCGCCCCATTCCTTCCTTCCTGCACAGACTTGAAAATTGTCTCTGCAAGCCCACTGCTGTGCCCCTCCCCTTCCCCCACCCCCACCACCACCACACCACCACACCATCTATAAATTTGCCAAACCTTTTCTCCATCCAATGGCCCTCGCTTATGTTGGTCTGGGATCCATTGGGACCCTCATCCAAGGGCTCATCATGCAGTCCCAGCTGCAACCAGTACCGAGCTCAGGTGTGGCTGAAGTTATTGGTTATTAAGATTGGCTGGCAGTTCAGGAGAGTAAAACCTCCTGCTACTGAGAGGTGAATGGCCCCTGATTCACTAATTTAGCCCTGCCTGAAGCATCTTATGACTGCAAGACTGTTGTCTTATAGCCGGTTTTGTTTCTGGTGATGGGGTTATGTAAGCTATCTGCTCTATCCCTGGGAGATTTCTGCCCCTGTGAGTACAAAGGTTTCAGTCACTAATTAAGTCAGTGAAACTGCTAAAGTTGTTTGTGGGTAGCAACAAGAGAATTTGGATCTGGTGGCTCACTGGTTAGCAATGATGCCTCCCGGCTCTAGGGACCCAGGTTCACTTTCAGTCTTGGGTCTTTGTGCAGAGTTTGCACATTCTTCCGTGTGTGCATGGGTTTTCTCCCGGTACTCTGGTTTCCTACCACAGTCCGAAGATATGCAGCAACAAAAGCCAATTGCTAGAAAAACTCAACAGGTGTGGCGGCATTTGTGCAGAGAAATCAGTTCTGAAAAAATATCAGTGGAACCAAAACGTGAACTCTACTTTCTTTCCACAGATGCTACTAGATGCGTTGAGTTTTTCCAGCTATTTCTATTTTTGTTTTTGACTTCCAGCATCTGCAGTTTCAATTTTTTTTTTTCTTTTTTGTTTACCAGAGATGTGCAGCTAAGATGGATTGGCTTTGCTAATTTGTCTGTGGTGTCCAGGGTTGTACAGGCCAATGGATTAGTTATGGTGAATGCGGGGTTGCGGGGATAGGGTAGGAGAGAGTGGGATGCTCTTCAGAGGGTTGGTGCAGACTTGATGGGCTGAGTGGGCTCTATATGCGCTGTAGAGGTTCTATGAGTCTATTGTAGCTTGGCAGCTTGGAAGATTGAGGTGATGAATTTATGTAATGTATTTAAGTTGTTCAAACTTAAATTCAAATAATAAAGCAATATTTATAAACATGCCTCTTTAATTACAGGAAAGTAATTCAGCAGAGGGGACTGGAGGCTCTTCAGAGGAATGGCGGAGTGAAACTAACAGCTCAAGGTAACGCAACTGCTTCAGTGTATTTTTTTAAGTACACATTTGTCTTTTAGATGTAGAAATATACTGGTATTGACAACAGGATTTAGTACTTTGCAATTTAAAGAAAAAATGAACTGCTGAGGAAGGGTCACTGGACTTGAAACATGAACTCTGTTTTCTCTGCACAGAAGCTGCCTGAGGTGCTGAGTTTCCCTAGCAATTTGTGTTTTTGTTTCAATTTTACTTCTATCTCTTTGTGGAATGTGGGCATTGCTGACTAGGCCAGCACAGATTGTCCATCATCATTGATCTTAAGAAGGCAGTGGTGAGTTCCCTTCTTGAACTATGCAGACCTTGATCCCATTTTGCTTCAAAATGTTCAGGATTGGCACTTGGAATCAAGAATGCATTGCAATGTTACCAAAAAGGGGGATAAAAAAGTATTGTGAAACTTCTTCATTCTGATTACTTCAGTCTAAATTGTCCTTTATGAGGACATCCTTTTTGACCACAAACATCTTGCAGTTATATAACATGTTTAACATAGTAAAACTCCTGATGTGCTTCAATAGATTTCTCAAATAAAGGTCACACTAAGCTACTTAGTGATATTAGGACATATAACCGAATATTTAGTCAGAGATAGCTAGCTTCTACGGAGTGCCTTAAAGGAGGATAAGAGGCAGAGAAGTTTAGGGAGGAAATTCCAGAACTTGGGCTGTAGAAAGCTGATGGCATAGCTTCCGGTGGTGGCATAGTAAATTTGGGGATGTGTAAGAAGGCAGAATTCGAGTCACGCAAAGACCTTGAAAGCTTATAGTACTGAACAAGATACCGAAAGTATGGCAGGACAAGACCATGCAGAGATTTGAAAACAACAAGAATTGAGGTGCTATTAGACCAGGAGACACTGATGCATTTGCTGCAAATTATGACTTGGCAGAAGAGATTTGAAAGAATTTGGATTTACAGAAGGAATTAGATAGGAAACTAGGAGGTTTGTGGCATATGGTTATTAATCCTGACGCCCTGTTTGCTTTCTGTTTGATCTCTTCGCATTAATTGGTGACTCGCATACTAGTGTGAAACAGGAAGACCTGTATTTATGTTGTGTTTTTGACAACCACAGTATGTCCCACGTGCTTCACAGTCAATTAAGCACTTTTGAAGTGCAGTCTCTGTTATGATGTAGGAAGGTTGACAGTGAATTTGCACGTTAAAATCGTGCACTAATGGGAGCCTGATAATAACCAGCAAATTTATTTTTTTTAATGTAACATTGATTGAGGGTGAACTGTTAGCCAGGAAACCATGCATAACTTGGCAGAAATTGCTGGAAAGCTGTCACAGGTTATGCAGCGTCTGTGTACAGTTCATATTTGTTCATATTTCAGTATGTGACCTCCTGTCAGAACTGGGAAAAGTTAGAGATATAATAAGTTTTGAACAAAGGATTAATGGTAAAAGCACAAAAGGAAGGTTTGTAATTTGGTGGGTGACAGGTGATTTTGTTTATAAGAGAGATTGGGCAAACTGGGTTAGTATTTTCTTGTTTTGAAGATTGAGAAATGATCTCGAAGTCAACAAAATGCACAAAGGGATAAACAGAGTAAATGTAGTTAAGCTGTTTCCCTGTTTGTGGAGTCTGGAACCAGGGGTCACAATTTAAATATATAAAGAGAGTGCCATTTAGGGCTGAGAGTAGGAGAAATGGTTTGAACTCTGAGAGTTGAGAGTCTTTGGAATTCTCTACCTAAGAAGGCTGTGGAAGTTACACCATTGCGAATGTTTAAGATAGAGGCTAATACATTTCTGATTACTAATGGCACAAAGAGTTAAGGAGATAGTATTGGTTAGAGATAATGAAGTGTTCGATTAGTCACCGTTTTAAATGGTGAAGCAGGCCTGTGCTCCTAAAAGTTAGTCCTCCAGGTCCAAACTGAAGAGAGATGGAGCAACAAGGAAACAAATAATGCAACTATAGTCGTTGTGCTTATAATTGAAAGAGCAAACCAAAACAAGCAAAGGACAGGAAACACAAGTTTATGTCTGAAATGGTTGAACTCCACATTGAATCTAGAAGATGGTAAAATGCCTAGTTTAAAAAAAAAAATGAGGTGCTGTTGTTAATGCTTACTGTGAACCTTTCTGTAACAGTGCAGTAGACTGAAGACAAATATCAGAGTGAAAGAAGTTGAAGAATTAAAATGATAAGCCACCAGAAGCTCTGGATTATGCTGGTAGATAGAATAGAAATGTTCCACAATATAGTTAACCATTTGGCACTTGCTATCCTCGGAAGCAGCCAAATTGTTAGCAGTGAATGCAATAGACTAAGTCAAAAGAAGTTCAGGTAAATTGCTACTTAACCTGGAAAGTGCCTTGGGCTAAGAATGATGCGGAGAGAGGAGGCAGAAAGGCAGCTGCTGCATCTCCTGTGTTTGCACGGAAAGGTGATATGGGAAAGGGATAGGGTATTGGGGGTTCACTGAGGAATGGACCAACGTTCACAGAAGGAAATGTTTTTTGATGGGGGTAACTCATCTACTTCTGTTTGGAATAGTGTCATGGGATCTTGTACATCCACCTGAGAGGACATACAGAGGTCTGTTCCTTTCAACAGATGTTAATTTGGAGCCTGACTTTATATACATATATGCATTGTATTGTAGCTACCTATGTGTTTGTTAACGTTAATGCTACCTGTTAGATGTATGACCCATATCTTTCTTGTAGTCGTTAGTTCTTAAGAGTACTGACCAGTGCATATCTGTGGATTTGAAGATAATACATAATCCAAATCACTGATATACTTTGAGGAGAATGTATTTGCTCATAATGTGAAAGGTAACTTTTTGCTTGGTAATGCAAACTTTGTTCTTCAAAATAGATGCATCTTCCTCTTCATAACAGTATCCATCAACTGACCCAACCATTCCTTATTCTTGAAAATATGTTTTTGTGCTGTGCTTATTGATTATGTTCACGTCAGAACAACCTATCAGATTAGTGCAAATCCTGAGGCTTTAATGGTGCCCAGGTACAATTTATGTGCAATATTCTGACTGCATTTCTATGTGCAAACACAATTACATGGTTTCTCTTGAACTTGTGAATCTGGGAGGCTTGGAAGATGCATATCATTAGGAATGTGTAAGATACGCATCAGTAAGAACAAAGAAAATACTATCAGCCAGTCATTTTCATTTTTGTAAGTATTTGAGGAAATTTGTGTTGCAGCATTACAAAGCCAAATTTCAAAGGAGATAAACAATTTCTACTCAGACGTAGATGGAAGTGGAATTAATTCTTATTTGCAGTTTCCGTTCTAAATATGAATGGGAGATGAATTAATTCTTATTTGTGTTTAGTGATTCTTCAAGTGAGTATTCAGATTGGACAGCAAATGCAGGAATTAATCTTCAGCCACCGAAAAGACCAACCAGACGGCGAGCTCCACTCATTATGAGCAGCTCAGAAGATGAACAAGATGATAAAGCTAAACCATCATGGAATCAAAAGATAAAGAAACCTAAAGGAAGACCACGGAAGGTAGTTGTAACTTTCATGTATGTTGTTCTAGTTTTGTGTTGGGTATGCTATTTTTGGCTGTGATCATTCTTACTCCAGTAGCTACTGGACACTTGCTCAGATTTTGCGCAACAAACAGTTACTTGGTTCAGGTTCCTAAATGCAATCATGCCCCTGGAATCATCTTGGGAAATCCAATTTTTTAGGATTTGTTCACAACCTTCATCTGAACACAGCCACAGTGTTGCTCTCAGAGCGAAATATTACCATTGGAAATCTGGAATAAGAGCAAAAAATGTCAGAAATACTCAGGTGTTTTCATATTTGTGGAGAGGGAAAACCAGTTTGGGTTTCAGGTAAGTGATCCTTCATTAGAATGAGATGAGGCAAAGATTTCTGCTGAATGGCCATCAACCTGAAACATGAACTTTGTTTCTGTCTGCACAGAAGATGCCTGGTATACTAAGTATTTTCAGCATCCAGTTTTTATTAAAGTGTTACCTCACATGGTAAAGGTTCTTCAGATTTTCTTACCCTCCCCTCTGAATGAGGCTATTTGGATGGAATGGGTTATGCAACAATGCAAGTATATTGAAAATGTAGCACTCAAAATATGGCTAGCACTCAAGGTCTTTAATTTGCTCATCTAAATTCTATATCAATTAATAGCTATATAACAAGGAACCTGCTTTGTAATGTCACACTAATATATATTGTAAATGGTGTGAAAACTGGTTTTAACAAATAAACATTTTTAAGTTGGGGAGAGAGTAGTTTTTTATATAAATGGTATGTATCTGCATTACATAATTTTGTTTTCCTGTTGCAACGCAGAGACCCAATCCAGTGCCAACTGGAGAAGGTACAATTTCAGAGGAATGGCATCCCCCAAAGTGGATCACAGATACTGTACCACGCAGGTCACCATATGTTCCACAAATGGGTGATGAGGTAAGAAAACTGACATTCAGTTACAAACAGTAGTGCACCAGGAATTCTTTGTGTGATGCACAATCCCAAAACTTGTACTTCAGGAAGTGAGTATGATTTAAATGAAGGAATTTTATGAAGATTCTTTTTGTTTATTCAAAATAACTAAATCCTGCTGTCTGGAGTAGAAGGTAATATTGTTCATAACCTCAATCTTGTTCTTGATGCCTCTGCAATTTTATTTGGGTTTTTCATGGCTAGTCAACATCTTAAGAGTAATTTTTACTAATGCCACACTTCATTACCACATTTTTAACACTGAGTTCAAATTCTTGGAAGGTTTTGGGGGGAGTTTTATCTTTTGTTTGATTCTCATTACCTGTGATTTATCTTTCTTTGTATATTACTTTGTGTCCTTGCAAGTCCTGATTTTTTTCCCCCCATTGTTGTTTATATTTCTACAATATCTTGGAATTTTTTTTATATTCCTTCCATTTCTCTATCTGATTTTTTCCAAAAGGTGCACCATTCTTTGTAATTAGTGCTGCTATCAACTGTGAATGTACCAAAGGAATGTTCAACTAATTTAATATGTTGTGGGATAGGAGTGTCACCGGGAAGGCCAGCATGTGTTACACGTTCCTAATTGCCCTTGGATTAAGAGGCTTGCTGGGCTATTTTGGGGTGGGGGTTGCAATCGAGTCAACCATTTGCTGTGGATTTTCGAAGTCCCACGTAGGCCAAACTGAGCCAGGATGAAAGATTTCTTTGCCTGAAGGATATTGGTGAAACAGGTGGGATTTGACATCAATTAACGGTAGCTGTACTGATTATCACAACTGGTAGTAGTTTAGTATTCCAGCTTTATTAATTGAATTGAAATTCCACCAGCATTAGCCTAAGCCTCTATTAGCCTAATGACATTGCCATTATCCCTACTATCTCCCCTGATTTATAGCACGAAGAGGATTTTCATCTAATTGTATCTGGAAAAAAGTTATCCATCCTAGTCCTATATTTAAGCTTTTGGTCCATAGCCTGGTAGCTTACAGCATTTTAAGTTCCATACAAGTGGTTTTTAAATGCAATAATTGTTGTTTAAGAGGCATTCAGGCAGACACGTGAACAGGCAGGAAATAGAGGGATACAGATCATGTGCAGGCAGATGGGATTAGTTTAGAATTGCATCAGGGTTGCTTCAGACATGATGGGCGAAGGGCCTGTTCTGTAATGTTCTGTGTTCTCTATGATCTTTCAGGTAGTGAGTTCCAGACCCCAAATGCTTTCAATGAAACTATCCTGTTTACCACCCCTCTAATCCTTCTGCCAATTATTTCTTAAGATGTGCCCTCCAGTTATTGCTGTCTCTGTTAAGGGAAGTTGCACTTTTTAATAAACCGTATCCAAGTCTTTCAGAGTTTTATGCACGTGAACTTAACCGTCTCATAGCTTTCTCTGTTCCAAAGAAAATAGTCCAACCCTAGCAGATCTTTACTCATAGTTTTAAAAAAAAAACTCAATTTTTGGGAACATCCTTGAATACTTCCTCTGCATCCTCTCTAATTTCCTATTTCTTTTAATTTGGAGAACCAAACTACATCTCGGATTCTCACTGTGGCCTAACAGGTGGTTTATAGGGTTCTAATATAACCTCTCTGCTCTTTTGTTGACTGAGGCATAGATTATATTAAAGTATCATTAGAACAAATGATTAAGTTCATTGTTAGTTGTTGGAAAAATACAAACATATGATTTAGGAACAAGAACAGTCTATTCAGCTCCTCGAGCCTGCTCCAGCGTTCAAAAAGTTCAAGGCTAATCTGATTGTTACTTCAAATCCACTCGCCCACATACCCTTAATAACCTTGCAACTCTTTAACAAAAATCTATCTCCTCTGCCTTTTGAAGACTCTGCTTCCACCACCCTTTCAGAGAGAGTTTCAAAGACTTAAAAAGCTCTGAGAAAAGATGTCCCCCAACCTGGTGACCCCTGAAACAGTAACCCCTAGTTCTGAGTTCTCCCTTATGAGGAAATTTCTTTGTCATATCTACCCTGAAGAGACCTTTGGGGATTTTTTTATAGTTCGATCATGATCCATCTTACTCTGCTGAACTCAAATGGATATAAACTTGCCTGTTCAATCCTTCCTCATAAGACAACCTGGCCATTCCAAGAATTTGTGTAGTAAAGCCCCTCTGAATCGCTTCCAATACATTTAATGCTTCTATAAGACCATAAGGTGACCAATATTGTGTACAGTCCTCCAAATACAATCTTCTCAGTGCACTATATAACTGGAACATAACCTCATTATTTTGGTATTCACTTCCCCTCACAACAAATGATAACACCCAATTAGCTTTCCTAATTTCTTGCTGTACTTGCATATTAATCTCTTGCGATTCATACACAAGGTCACCTCTACATCTTAGACTTCTGTAATATCTTAGTACTTAGTTTATATATTTTTTAAAGCTTTCTGCCAAAGTGGACAATTTAACATTTTCCCAAATTATACTCCATTAGTCACATCTTTGTCAACATATCAATATATATTTTCAATGGCCTTGTGTCCATTTTACAACCTACCTTCCTACATCCATGCTTTCTGTTCCTTCATCCAAGCATTTGGATAAATTGTAAGCAGTTGAAGTCCCAGTGGCATACCACTTATTATATCTTAACAACCTGGAAAAGGGCCAGTCACGCCTATTTTCTGCTTCCTGTTAGCTACCCAATCACTTTTCCATGCCAACATGCTACTGTCTATGCCATGAGCTTTTCCACAGTAATCTTTGAAGGTTAAGGTTCAGTTTCCCTTTATCCACAATGCGTTATCTCCTTTTCACAAAACAATGACTCAAATTATCTTGAACTTATTCAAGTTCATTGTTGTGATGTTTTAGCAGCTTCTAACATTTTCTCTATGACCGATGTTAACCTCACTGGCTTGTTGTTTCTTTCTACTTGTCTGCCTTGCTTTTTGAATAAAGGAGTTAAATTCAGTAATTGTGCTTATTCCTGATGAAAACACAGAAATTTCTCCTCAGCAACATTTACAGATTATTCAATTTGAACCATTCCTATTTATACTTAACATATACAGCATTACAATTGTTTTTGAGCTAAAAAGAATTTGTTTCAACAGGTTGTCTACTTTAGGCAAGGCCATGAAGCCTATGTAGAAGCTGTCAAAAAGGCAAAAATATACACCATTAGCTTACGCAAGCAGCCATGGCATAAACTGGAAATTAGGGTAAGATTGATTCATGAATTTGTGGAACTAATCTTTGACTTGAAGAATTTATAAAGCATGTATGTGAGCAGTTTGTGTGAGTTTTTATGCAGAAGATAGGGTGGGGGGAGTTGCTGGTCGTGGTGGTGATGAGAAGTAAACGATAGAGCCCAGAGAGAAAGAAGAACAGTTGGACAGACAAAGGAGTGGATAACGATCTGGCTTGGAGGGTGACTAGCAGTTAATGGGGTCTGTTAGTTACTAAGAATAGGTAGTCTGTAATTGCAGAACTGTGTGAAAACAGGGCCTGGTGTGTGGGGTGGGGGCCTAGGACATGGGCGAGTTCGGGCTGTCAAATTATTGAACTCAATATCGAGTCCAAAGGGCTGCAGGGTCCCCAAGTGGAAAATGAGGTGTTGTTTTTCCAGCTTGCACCGAGCTTTGCTGGAATACTGCAGCAAGCCTGAGACATAGATGTTGGCCAGGGAACAGGGTGGTGGGTGAAAGTCGCAGACAACTGGAAGCTCAGGGTCTTCTTTGCGGGCAGAACATAGATGGCCTGAACTCTCCCATGTCCTGGCCCCCTACCCTACACCAGGCCTTGTTATCACAGTTCTGCCATTACATGCTACTTATTCTTAGTCACTAACAGTCTCCATTAACAGCTATTCATCCTCCTATCCAGATTGTTATCCGTGGCTTTGTCTGTCCAACGTCCTTCTTTGGGCTGTATCCCCAACTATCCTTTACTTCTTACCAACACCCCCCCCACCCACCCTATCTTCTGCATAAAAACCCACATTTTCCTAGCTACAACAGTTCTGAGGAAGGGTCACCAGACCCAAAACATTAGCTTGACTTCTCTTTGCAGATGCTGCCAGATCTGCTGAGCTTTTCCAGCAACTTCTGTTTTGTTTCTGAGCCCTTCTCAGTTTGATTTAATGATGTGTTTATCCAACAGACCATTGAAAGAAATCATTTACATTGACTTGCTTTGACCCTTTACTGCACTTGCTTAATGAATAAGTTGCTAAATCTGAAAGTTAGTGTTTCAGCTTAGTAATGGTAGATGTCTTTGTAGAAAATTATCAGACTACTAGCCAGCTAAAGTAACATTTGGGTAGTGAGTATTGACTAGATTTTAAATGTTTGGATTCAATAACTTTCTTGGGTCAGAAATTACTCTGAACTTATAGAACTCAGTGATTTTTTTTTTAAACTTCAGCTTAATTTTGTTTCCACCAGGATCAAGAATTTTTAAAAATTGTTGGACTAAAATATGAAGTTGGCCCTCCTACATTGTGCTGTCTCAAACTTGCCTTCATCGATCAGGACACAGGCAAAATTATGGATAAGTCATTTTCAGTGAAGTACGTTCAGTGTATTTGATACTTTTGGTTAAGAATATCTTAGTTGAATAAATTTATTAACTTGATTTTAAAACAATTGTTGCTTAGCATAGACACTGGGTTGAATGGCCACCTCTTATGCTATAACTTGTCTATTGTTTCATGGTTCTATTAAAGAACATGTCTAGGAATCCACTAATGAGCACTGATCCTCAAAGCTGTAGAATTGTCCTTCCAGTTTTGTCTTCACTGGTTTTCTTTAATGAGCACCATACACAAGTTGAAGAAGTTGAGCCAGTTCAACATCTTCAGCAGATGCTTCATCGAAAGTCAAACTGGAAAAACAGTGATCGCTCTTCTTGTATGTTTAAAATCTGCATATATGAAATGTCAAAACTTAAGAATGAGAGTAGGCCATTTAGCCCGCAACCTTTTTATGCCATAAAGTCAGTGGTGATGTATGACCTTGCTCCATGTACCTGGCATTGTCTGTCAACCCCTTGAGACATTTTAAACTTGTAACAGCTCCAGAAAGCACCAAAAAATATAAACTTTATCAGCCAGTATAAATCAAACAGCAACTAACCTGTGAGTGAGTGGTGATGATTCCTTTAAACAGCAACAGTTGAGTTTGTGGAATGGGAAATTCTTTCTGTTACTTAACATATTTTCAGTTAGGAGAGGTTGTCACCTGGAACATCGAGTTCCAAATTGGCAGTATTGCCTTCAAGTTTGCATTCCACATGTCTGTCCACATTCTGGACTTTAGGCAGAAGCCAATTTATTTACCAAGACGTCTCTGGTTCTCTTTGGGTCAAAAGTATGCACTCATTCTGTCAACTCTATTTTGGAACCCTAAGGTCCCTTGTGGCACTCAAAACAAAAAGGAACTATGGTGTCCCTGCAGAGTCTGCACCACAAAGTATATGTTAGACCACTTTATTCCGTTCCTAATTATGTACGACAACCAAACAAAAAAAGAGAGGAAAGTCAATACGAGAAAGTTAAGAGACAGAAAAAGTAAGAAGTTATGAGAATTTTCAGTGCTGGAGAGGTTCTTCTGTGTATTAAAATTCATCACTTCATGACTGAGTGCACAGTGTGATCTTACAGTCTTGGCCAACCTCTCTCATGACTAGGACTCGAATATTCAGAGATGCATGCTAGGAATAGGTGGAAAGGTAGTTTTGCTAATTAAGGAGGATGTCAGTATAATAGAGAGAGATTGCCTCAATTGTGGAGATCAGGTTGTGGGGTCAGTTGGGTAGAGGTCAGAAATAGTAAAGCTAAGAAGTCAATTGAGGGAGTGATTTATAGGTACCCTAATAGCAGCATCCCTACAGGAAGGATGTAGGGGAAGATTTAATGAAAACTTGAGAAAGATACGGCAACAATCAGAGATGATTTTAATCTGCCTATTGTTTGGATAAATCAGATTGGCAAGGGTAGTCTGGATAACCAGTTTATAGTATATTTTCAGGAGCAGCATATTCCAAAGGCAAGCAGAGATCAAGTTAAGTAAATTTGGTAATGTGCATTGACATAAAATTAATTAATGACATTATAGTAAAGGCTCCCCTAGGTAGTATTGATCATGATGCATTTGAATCTTGCACTCAGTTTGAGGGAGAGAAGAGTGTTTCAAATTCATATAAGAGCAATTAGGACAGCATGAAGACAGGCTGGCCAAAATGATGGGAAAGACCAGGGAGAGGTATGGTAAAAGACATTTAAGGAGATTTCTGAACACTCAAGAAACATGCATTCCCATGAGAGGGAATGATCCTTGAGAAAGGACTTGCCATCTGCGGCCAGTTATACAAAGGTGGGGGGGGCGATGTCCTAGTGGCATTATTGCTGTTAATCCAGAGACCCAGATAACGTTCTGGGAACCCACATTCAAATCACACCATGGCAGTTGGTGGAATTTGAATTCAGTGAATGTCTGGAATTAATGATGATCTTGAATCCATTGTTGATTGTTGGAAAAACCCATCTGGTTCTTTAATGCCTTTTAGAGAAGGAAACTGCCATCCTTACTTGGTCTGGCCTATATTGAACTCCAGATGCACAGCAATGTGGTTGACTCTTGACTGCCCTCTGGGCAATTAGGAGTGGGCAATAAATGCTGCCTAGCCAGCAAAGCCCTCATCCCGTGAATGAATAAAGAAAAATTAAGGAAGTTGAAAATAGTATTAAACTGAAAGAAACAGTAAGAATTCAGTATCCTAGAAATAACTGAGAATCAGAATATAAAATGCTACAAGAAACTTAAAACAATTTCCCTGGTGATTGTTAGGCTACTGAGAAATTTAGTAGAACTGAAAGCTGTCCAGTTCACTGGCCCTTTTGGACTCCATCCTACTGTGTTAAAAGAATTGGCTACTGAGATAGTAAATGCATTCTTTTCAATTTTCTAAAATTCTCTAGATTCTGGAAAGCTCCCATCCATCCTTAAATAAGGAGAGCAAAACTGAAAAGAGTTTTTTTGTTTTGTTTTGTTTTGTTTTATTCACTTGTGGGAAGTGGAAGTTGCGGGCTGGTCAGCATTTGTTGCCCATTCCTAGTTGCCTGTGAGAAGGTGGTGGTGAGCTGCAACTTAAACTGCCGCTGTCTGCGTTCTATTGGTAGACCCACAATGCAATTAGGGAGGGAATTCCAGGCTTTTGACCCAGCGACAGTGAAGGGGCAATGATATATTTCTAAGTCAGGATGGTGAGTGGCTTAGAGGGGATCTTGCAGATGGTGGTGTTCCCATGTATCTGCTGTCCTTGTCGTTCTAGCTTGAAGTAGTTGTGGGTTTGGAAGGTGCTGTCTAAGTATCTCTGGTGAATTTCTGCAGTGATTTTTGTAGGTAGAACACTGCTGCTATTGATCTTCGGTAGTGGAAGGAGTGGGTATTTGTGGATGTGATAAAAATCAAGCGGCTACTTTTATCCTGGGTGGTGTCAGACTTTTGTTGAGTGTTGTTGGAGCTGTACTCGTCCAGGCAAGTGGGGTGTATTTAATCAAACTCCAGACTGCCTTTTGTCGTGGTGGGCTGGTTTTGGGGAGTCAGGAGGTATTATTCACCGAGTATTCCTAACCCCTCACCTGCTGTTGTTATGGTGAGTTCAACTGAGTTTCTGATCAACGATGATTTTCAGGATGCTGTTGGTAGGGGATTCAATGATAGTAAAGCCATTGAATGTCAAGGGGCGGTGGTTAGATGATCTCATATTGGAGACAGTCTTTGCCTGGTATTTCAGTGGTGTAAATGTTAGCTAATACTTGTCAGCTTAAGACTGGATATTGTCTAGGTGTTGTATTTGAATATGGACTGCTTCAGAATCTGAGGAGTTGCGAATGGTGCTGAACACTGCAATTGTCAGTGAGCATCCTCACTTCTGACCTTGTGATCGAGGGGAGGTCATTGATGAAGCAACTGAAGGTGGTTGGGCCTAGGACTGTACCCTGAGGAATTCCTGCAGAGATGCCTTGGAACTGAGGTGACTGACCTCCAATAGTCACAACCAGCTTAAAGTTTTAGCAAAAATTTGTAGCTTGGGTTGTGGGTGAGGTTGTTAACTTGCTTGCCGAGCTCCACCTGTAATGCAGTCAACAAACATATAGAATTGGACCCCATATACAAACACAGATCAAAACTGGAAATGACACTTCTCACCATAATGGACCAACTAGTATAAATTCCAAGCGAAGTAGAACAACATCACTTCATCGGAGGCCTCACTGATGATGTCGCCTAGCATGGCGACAGAATGTCTGAATGAAAACAAGCCAGCTCAGCCAGCAAGTCAACAACCTCACAACTATCTTAATTTGTGCCAGGAATGACTGTAAGCAGGGGAGAGTTTGTCCCCCAGATTCCTTTTGATTCCGGTTTTGCTAGGGCTCCTTGATGCCCCATTTTTTCAAATGCAGCCTTGAAGTCAAAGATTGTCACTCTCACCTCACCTCTGGCATTCAACTCTTTTGTCTATGTTTTAACTAAGGCTGTAATGAGGTCAGGAGCTGAGTGGCCATGGCAGAACCCAAACTGGGCATCACTGAGCAGGTTATTTCTGAGCAGGTGCTGCTTGATAGCACTGTTGATGCCACCTTCCATCACTTTTCTGATGATCAAAAGTATGATGGGACAGGTAATTGGTCAGATTGGATTTGTCCTGCTTTTTGTGAACAGAACATACCCAGGCAATTTCCCGCATTGTTGGGTAAATGCTAGTGTTGTTCCTGAGATGTGGTCTCACCAATGTCCTATTATAACTGAAGCATGACTTGGTTTAATGTTCAATTTCTTTCATCATAAAGGATAGTATCCTATTGATCATCTTAATTGGTATACTTGCATACTGAAGTTTTTTGTGACTTGTACACCAGGGCATCTAGATATCTCTACACCTTAGAATTCAGCAGTTGTTCTCCATTTAAATAATACTCCGTTGTTTTTATTCTTCCTGCCAAAGTTAACCTCAAATTTTTCCCACCTTATTCTCCAGATTGTGGTCTACTAACTCTATCTATTTTAATTGATTTCTGGAATGAATGAGGAAAGGCCAGACAAGTTGGGCATGTATCTTCTGGGGGTTTAGAAGAATTAGGTGACTTTATTGAAACACAAGATCCTTGGGGACCTTGACAGGCTGGATGCAAAAGAATGTTCCACTTAGGAGAGATCCCAGAACAAGGGACACAGTTTAAAAATAAGAAGTGACTTATTTAATATGAAGGTGAGAATTTATTTTCCCTTGGAGAGTCACAGATCTTTGCAACTGTCTTCCCAGGGAGTGACGGAGGCGTGATTATTGAATCTTTTTAAGGCCACGGTAGGTAGATTCTTGATTAACAAGGCAATCATGGAATAGTAGGGATGGCAGGAATGTAGTGTCGAGGCCATGATTGTATTGAGTAGCAGAGCAAGGTAGAGGACTGTAATGGCATTTTCCTGTTCATTTGTATATTAAGAATTCACTTCAAGTTAAATCTTGGCCATTTAAGTCTAACTTTTACTGGAGTATTTCTTGACCTTCCAGCGATAAAGCACTACAGCTGCATTCCCTTCATATATTTTAATATTTTAGTGACATACCAGTGTACCAACGTTTGTGGAAAAGTAGGGAAATTGCACAATAACTTGATTTCAGTGTTTAACTGAACATACACAGACTTGGAAAACTATTGTATGATTTGTTCTGTAGTAACAGTGAGTATTGCTAGCCTCTCCAGTCCTACCACAAAATCCAGATCATTGGTTTGGTATAATAGTTCACCAACATGTTATTTATGTGTAAAATCTACTTGTTTGAGTGCTTTAGCTGAAGTTAATGATATTTCTAATTTATTACAAGTTGTTACTTTTCATTGAACTATATATAAATTTTACTACTTGTATTTGATTTAACATCTGTCAAAGAGATGATGTTAAAGCTGTTACTGAAGATGAGTTATAGAAGTTCGTGGTTTAGTAAGAGGCATAATTTATTGACGTTTTTGAGGAAATGCATGCTGTTGACAAAGGGAAACTGATGAATGTACTGTACTCAGATTTCCAGAAAGCATTTGATAAGTGTCTCATCATAGATTATTGCTTGGAATAAAAGGCATGCATAGAAGATTGGCTAGATACGGGAAATAAAGAACAGATGTAAATATAGGTCATTTTCTGGTTGACAAGATATAATCAATGGTGTGCCACAGGAATCAGTGCTGGGGGCCTCATTTTGCAGGTACTTCAAGTAATTAGGAAAGTTAATAGAATGTTATTGTTTATTGTAAGAGGAAATTGATATAAATTAAGGCTGGTTATGCTTCAGTTGCATTGGGCATTAGAGAGACCACATCTGAAGGTTTCCCTGACTACTACTTGAAATGTCTTGAGGATAGGCCAGACTTGTAAAAGTTCAGTGGGTTAAGAGGGTGACGTGATTGAAACACAAGATCCTGAAGGGTGGATGTGGAAAGGATGTTTCCACTTGTGAAATAATCCATAATTAGTGGTTGCCCATTGAAAGCAGAGATAGGAGAATTTTTTTTCTCAAGGGTGAAAGGACTGTTGACCTCTTTTCCCAAAAGGTAGTGAACATTACAGTAAAAGCAGGGAGTTTGAATGCTTTTAAAGTAGAGGGACATGAGGTCTTGATAAAGTAGAGAATGAAAGGTTGCGGGGGGCGCGGGGGGGGGCGGGGTTGCAGGATATGAAGTAATTAGGTCAGACATGATGTTATTGAATGACGGAGCAGCTTGAAAATGAGTGGCTTACTCCTGTTCCTAATTGCATAATTATTGTGTTTCAGATCCTGTCAGATGCAAAACAAGATGTCTTTCACTCTACTCCATTTAGCCCCAATTTTAGTTGAGCGCTGCCCATATCACATGTATTTATTGTGCTTCATTGATCAGTTATATACTGTTCTGTTTTTCAGATACCATGACATGCCTGATGTAATTGATTTTCTTGTATTACGTCAGTTTTATGATGAAGCAAGGGAGAGGAATTGGAAAGCTGGTAAGTTTTAATTCATTATGATTCCAAGTTTAAATTTTCAATTTCTAAAAGAAACTGAAGCTAAAAATCTTACTTAAAAATGTTTTTTAAAATCTCAATTTTATTATTATTCTCACTCACCGCAGTTATTTGACATTTGCCTGGAAGATGGGCTTGAGAGTAGCTCCATATCTTTCATACGTGATGCAATGTACTTTTATGATGTCCTTCACATTATTTCCTCCAGCTTCATTGTTCATCAGAATGTCACAGTTATGGACACATTCTATTAATTCAGTAGACCCACTGTGTATTTTATAACTTATCAATGGTATTGAACAATACTTCTGTCATTTTGTTCTTAGCTAGGCATTTTATGGTTGTAGAGTTGCGATTGCATCCAAAGAATGGAAATTATGGAATTATAGTGGTTATAATATGGTGAAATGGTACACAAAGTACAATTTTTTAGATTTTAGCATCTCTGCTTGGGTTCAATATCATTATCCTGAAGATCAATCTAATAATACTCTCTGATAAGTACTGTGCCCCTTCTAACCAGCTCAATTTTCAGCCAAACCACCTCTTGAACAATTGGTGCATGATCTGTGACATTCTCTTCAATTTTTCTTCTTTTGGCTATGGGAATCTGTCGCTTACAGGAAAATAACATTAGTACAAGTCATCTGTTTCTCCATTGAGAACTTTTGTTGCATGTTATTGTCAATCATTGTGTATTGAAAGCTATTCTGAACTTAGATAGCTTTCACACCATTCAAATCATTAATTATCTTTCATATTTATTCTGTTGCTGCAGGTGATAAATTTCGGTCTATAATAGATGATGTTTGGTGGTTTGGGACAGCCTTAAGTCAAGAACCATTCCAGCCAGCATATCCAGATAGCCATTTCCAGTGTTACACTGTTCGGTAAGTTCAGAGCAACCATATATGAACACTATAAATTGTGTATTAGATTTACAGCGACAATTTTTATAAACACTTAATTGACTGTCATCATCTGTGATAAAATAAACAGTAAGTATTCGACAAATGTCTGCCTAATGCTCAACAGCAGTCAAGCTACAGATGTAGTGGGGAATGTGTGGAATAATTGACCTCCTTTTGTGCTGTAATCATTAAGTCTGTCATTTCTGTGTCAGTTGTACAAGAGTATAGTTACTAATCCCAATCCTTAGTCTTGCCCTATAGCCCAGTAATTTTGTTTTCCTCCTGTATGCCTTTACAGTTGTTTTGAAAGGTGCAATTGAATCTCCCTCACTACTCTTTTGTAGAGTATTCCAAATTCTGACTGCATTTTGTTTTTAAAAAAAAGCATATATTGTTTATGTTACTAATCACCTTGAAATCTAATTTTTTCCATTAATAGGAGCAGTTTCTCTCTATTGTAATGAAATGTGTACCTTTTCTGTACAAATTAATATCAGTTTTGGAATGTGAATTTCAAAATAATGGCATATGGGTGCTGGTTACTGCTGTGAAAGATTTTCTTTAGAAAAAAGGTCAGAGCCCTTCCAAATAATGACTTAATCCTGTACCTGTCACAGAGCTGGTGACTGCAAATCCCTGTGGTCTTGACGGAGCCATGTGTATACAGTATGGTTTTTATGACAAGTAGAGTAAATTTCTGAAGAAGGGTCTAGGCCTGAAACGTCAGCCTTCCTGCTCCTCTGATGCTGCTTGGCCTGCTGTGTTCATCCAGCTCTACACCTTGTTATCTATGTAGGGCCATTAGCTTTGTTTTTAGTTCAGAAATATCTAGGATGAACAAGTTTGTTTAAATTCCATTCCAAAGCAAGTTTATCAATTCGGCTCAGAAAGCACCATTGTTGAGTTCAGAAGTAAGATTAATTTCTCTCCCCAAAGAACAGTTCAGAGCAGTTACCTCAGCAGAAATGTACTTTGTGAAACTTCCAAACCAGGAGTGTTTGATTTGAAATGTGCAGATTATTAAAACTGTAACTGCTGTCAGTTTTGAGAAGAAGGTCATGTTGACAGATTTGGAAGAGAGTTATTGAATTGTCTCCATAGTCCAAGGCCAAGAAACTGTTAAGTGTGGGTTAGGTAGCACCCTAAAACTTTGAGATATCAAGAGATTCTCTGGATTTCAGTCTCTAATAGATATTGTTGGGAACAGATTGAATCATTGTTTTGCTTTGTGTTTCATATCTGGCTATCTTCAATATTTATATAGTTTGGCATGTTTTTCATTTTTTTTGTAATATACTTCTGTTTCGATGCTCAAGAAAGTCTGAAGCCTCGAGAAAATGTCTGTGATTGACGTTAACTTACTAAAACAAATAAAATGAATCTATGAAGTATATGAAGCCAGATTTCATTCTGGGATCTAACTTGTCCAGTATTCGCATCATAATACTATCCACTCCAGATTGTTTTAAACTCCCATCAAATCTCCTATCAAAAATGTGTTCTATTCTCTGAGGAGAATGACCCCTGAACTCCTACAGTCTTTCGCTGTGTTTGAGGTTTCTCATTCCTGAAACCAATTTCTAAAATCTTTTCTGTGCTGTGTCTATGAACCTTCGTATCCTTCCAAAAGTACGGTTTTCAGAATTAGTCATAATACTCCGCTTGAAGCTGAATCATTATTTTTAAAAGGTTCATTCTAGTTTCCTTGAATATGCAGTCTATGCCTCCATTTACAAAGTCCAAGATTCTATATGCCTATTTAACTGATATCTCAAAGTGCCGTGCTGTCTTCTGATTTGTATAAATATAATCCTTGTCTCTGCTCTTACACACCCCCCCACTTAGATTATGACTTTTAGATTGTATTGCCTTCCATTATACTACCAAAATGTGTTACTTTTCATTTCTCATCATGAAATTTCATCTGCTAAACATTTGCCCATTCCATCAATCTGTTTGCCCTCCTCCCAGTTCACAATAGTTCCATACCTGTGTCTTCTGTAAGTTTTGATCTCTCTGCAGCTCTCTGACTGACTGACCACTAATCCCAAGAATGGTTGCAAGGACCTGTAGGGCTGACTGTGATCTACTCCCCAGACTGTTGTGATAAGTAACCCCTGCATCTGACTGCCCCAAGAGGCTGAATGAGGCCTGTGGATTGAGATCAGAAGCTGTCCTTGACTGACTGGGAGTGGCATAGTGACTCAGTGGTTAGCATTGCTGCCTCACAGTGGCAGAGCAGCAGACGTTTTTTATTTGGATTTTAGTAAAGTCTTTGACAAGGTTCTGCATGGTAGACTAATTAGTAAAGTTAGGTCACATGGGATTCAGGGTGAGCTTGCCAACTGGATACATAATTGGCTTAATGGCAGGAGACAGAGTAATGGTGGAGGATTGCTTTTCAGACTGGAGGCCTGTGACCAGCGGTGTCCCACAGAGATTGGCTCTGGGTCCTCTCTTGTTCGTCATGTATATAAATGATTTGGATGAGAATATAGTAGGCATGGTTAGTAAGTTTGCGGATGACACCAAAATTGGCGGTATTGTAGACAGTGAAGAAGGCTTTCTAAGATTACAAAGGGATCTTGATCCAATGGGCCAATGGATTGAAAAATGGAAGGATGGAGTTCAATCTGGATAAATGCGAGGTATTGCATTTTGATACAATAAACAAGGGTAGGACCTTGGGTAGTGTTGTACAACAGAGGGACCTAGTGGTGCAGGTACATAATTCTTTGAAGTTTGCATCATACATAGACAGTGTGGTTAAAAAGGCATTTAGCATGCTTGCCTTCATTGCTCAGTCCTTTGAGTATAGGAGTTGGGACATTTTGTTGAGGTTTGCAAGACATTGCTGAGGTCTCTTCTGGAATACTGTGTCCAGTTCTGATCACCCAGTTATAGGAAGGATTTTATCAAGCTGGAAAGGGTTCAGAAGAGATTTACCAGGATGTTGCTGGGTATGGAAGACTTGAGTTACAAAGAAAGGCTAAATGTGCTGGCACTTCTTTCACTGGAGTGTAGGAGGTTGAGAGGCGACCTGATAGAAGTTTATAAAATAATGAGAGGTATAGATAGAAATGATGGTAGTTATCTTTCCCTAAGATGGGGAATTTCAATACTAGGGGGCACATTTTTAAAATGAGAGGAGAGAGATTTAAAAAAGACATGAGGGGCAAATGTTTTACACAGAGGATGGTTCGTGTGTGGAATGAACTTCCTGATGAAGTGGTGAATTTGAGTACAATTACAACGTTTAAAAGACATTTGGACGGATATATGAATAGGAAAGGTTTGGAGGGATTTAGGCCAGGAGCAAGCAGATGGGACCAGCTTAGTTTGGGATGATGTTCGGCATGGACTGGTTAGACCGAAGGGTCTGTTTCCATGCTGTATGACTATGACTATGACTGACAGCACCACGGACCTGGGTTTGATTCTACCCTCCTTGGATTTGATGGACCAAATGGCCTGCTTCCACACTGTAGGGATTCTATGATTCTATGATTCTAAGACTGTGGTGGACTCCCTGATTGACAACAGTCCTCCTTGACTGAGGACTACTCCCTTTATATTTTGAGACATGGCCATTTGGTTGAAATACATTGTGTGTTTGCTGTATGTGTAAGATTGATACTGTGCTGTACAAAAGCATGCCCACCCCCTTGATTGAGCACTACTGACAAATATGATATGCTGTCTGGCTTTGTACCTGAACTAAAAGGCTAGGCAAGGCAGGGATGCCGAGAGCAGCTGAATAAACATAAAATCAATGAGTACTAAGAAAGTAAGCCCAGGACCCAAGGTGCACTGTACTCCAGTGCATGAGTTAGGTACTTGTTCTTGCGTGCAAAAATGGCCTAGCAGCAGCATTATACTGAAAGGTGTCAGTGCACTCCAAAATGCAGGCTTAACATGGGTAACTGTATTTTAAATGAATTGGAAGTACGTCTGGCATGTGTCCAATGCAAAGCTCGTGACCAGAGAGTGTAGGCAGTCACTACCCATAAAATCGTGAGACCAAGGTGCAGGATTAGGCTGTTCGGCCCATCGTGCCTGCTATGCCACTCAATGAGATCATGGCTGACCTGATAATTCTCAACTCCCATTTTCTAGCTTTCTCCCATAATCCTTGATTCCCTTAATAATTAAAATCTATCCATATTGACCTTGAATATATCTGATGACCCGGTCTCAAAAGCACTCTGGTTTAAAAAAAAGTTCCACCGATTCACTACTCAGTAGAAATTCCTCCTCATCTCCTCAGCTCTAACCAGGATTATGCTGTTGTCACAACTTGATATCATACTAGAAGTTAAGCTGACTATTCCCAGAGTTTAAAAGTTAAAGATTTTAAAATAAGTACAAAAAATGCTCCAATTTACCTCCTTTCCAATCACAGCTTGACAGAAAGCAAAGACCAGGCTTCTGTACTTAACAAGAATTACAATTTATTGCAAGTAATTAGACTCTAAATGCAGCTAAATAGTTAGAAAACATTCACATATAATACTACAAATCAAAACTCTAATCCCATTTAAACTGCCCATTACACACGTGCGTGCACACAAACAGACAGGGAAACATGGATGATGGATGGAGGAAAACTGCAAAGGCATTTTGGTAGTTCCTGTTGATGGGTTGCTGAGACGATCCTTATGATTCTTATGCTGATTAGAACGTTGCTTTTCAGCTGTCTTTCTCCAGATGTTTCTGCTGGTTTTCAAGAGACAAAGTGGTTTCTGACTTATCAATTATGTGTCGCAGCTTACAACTGCTAAATACACAATACATTGGTTTTCTTCAGGTTTAAAGCTGTTTTTGACTCCAGAGAACAGTGTTCCTCAGCTGCTTTTTCCCAGCCCTAAGCTGTTCAGTTACCGAGACCTAACCACAGGGTTGCGGCTGGCTTTTGTCATTGGTCTATGGACTGGTGACCAGTTATCAATGAACTTCGTGTCTCCACCCAGCTGCATCTGTACGCAATCCCTCAGTTCCAGTTTGTCCCCAACCCTGCTTGATCAAACAGCTATTTACCTGATACTTGCCATGAGTGTCAGGTTACAGCTTAGTTGTTCTTCAGAACATTTGGCAATCCTTTAAAACACTAGTGTTTCCTCATTTCATCCCACACTTTAAAAAGCATAAAAACAAAAAGACATGGTCTTTACACCCTTTGGTCCTAAACCCTCCCAAAAGAGGAAGCAAGCTGTCCATATCAACCATGCCAAATGTCCTAGGAATCTTGTATGTTTCAATACGGTCACCTCTCATCCTTCTAAACTCCAATGAGTGCAGACTCAATCTCTTCTCATAAAATCCCTCCCTACTTGGGATCAACCGAATGAAGCTTCTCTGGACTGCCTCCAATGTCAATATAGCTTTCCTTAGATAAAGGGACCAAAACTGTTATGTATCACAGCCCTGATCTATCTAGTTCTTTGTATAATTTTAGCAAGATTTCATTTGAAATAAAAGCCAACACTTCATTCGCCTTCCCTATTACCTGTTAATTTGGGGTACTTGCTTTTTGTGATTTGTGCCTCCCTGCTTTGTCAGCCTTCACCTCCACTTCCTCCTTGCCCCTTGTCATAAATGCTCATCGTATCTGTGCATGCACTGGAGCAATTTTGATATTATGGCTAATAACACTGATATTAAAATATGAGATATCTTTGTAAGATCATGCTCCTCGAATATCTGTTCAAGGAGCATAAAATTAGCATACAAATACAACAAGCAGTTAGGTAGGTAGAAGTGGTTGGCCTTTTAAGAGATTTGGAACATAATAGTACGTTCTGCTACGGATGCACAGTTGGAGCTGGAGCACTGTACAGTTTTGGTTTTTGTGCCTAATAGATATATTTCCCTTCAGAGGGGATGCAATAGAAGATTCACTAGATTGATTACTGGGATGAGAGAAAGTTGTTGCGTACATTTTGGAATTCAGAATAATAAGAGATGATCTCATTGAAATATAAAATTCTTAGATGTCTTGAAATCTTGTAAAAATAATAATCACACTCTTTTCTCTGAGCCAGAAGCTGAGAGTTCAGGTACCACTTGAAGTCTTGATGGTGAAATAAAGTGTGTTCAAAACATGGCCAACCAGAGTATCAATTTGGAGACTCTTGCACCGTGGCTCCAACTACACCTGTGAAAATGGGAGAGATTCCTGATGAACCAGGTGATGAAAAGAAAATCAGAGCCTCTACCATCACTAGTTATGGACTACAATGTGCATGGAAAAGTGCATCTTGCCACTTGAACTCAGACTCCTTTTAGAGCCAGTTGGTTGCACAGTCCATGTGGCTCAGATTGGTGCCAGTGCATGGGTTTGATTGCTGTTCTGGCTAAGATGAATCCAGGACCAGTCGTCGTCCCTACCAGTGATGAAGATTGTGGCGCTATAGGTCGGTCCTGCCATCATTCGGATAACTGAATAAGTACAAGAGTACTTGACAGAGGAGATGCAGAGAAACTGTTTCTTTTATTTGGAAAGTCACAAATTAAAAATTGCTATTTTGGACCAAGATGAAGAGAACTTTCTTCACTCAGATATTTGTCTTTACCTTTGGAATTTTGACCCCAGATGGCTGCTGATGTTCAGTCATTGAGTAATATAGTACTCAAGGCAGCCAGTAGATTTCTGAACTCCAAGGGAATTAAGGCAAATGGGGATAATGTAGAAGGTGGATTTGTAGTCTAGGATCAGCCATGATCATACTAAGAAGTGTATATAACCAGCTTAATGACCCTGTTGACCAGTTTCTGCTTCTATTGTGCTTTTATGTTCAGTTCTGGAAAAACACTGCCAGCGAGCAGTGTGTGTTGTATTATCCCTCTAAGATTCATACTTAATAGTGACCTGAACTGATTTGTAGCTCGCTCATGTGACCCTATATTGAACAGGGTTGAAGTTGCCTGAACTTACACAAGTAAAAGAGAAGTAACCTTTTCAATCCATTATAAATGCTTGATTTTTATACTGTGCCTTTTAAAGTAATATTATGTCTTAGGGCACTTTATTTACCTCAGTTGACTTAGATTCAACCACTGGAACCAAACGCTTGTTCCTTCAACCATTGTCACTTCCATTGCATTTGTGTGGTGAGTATTTTGAAGTTTCTGATTGAAGCCCTCAAACTTATTTGAATTACATTGCATGCAAACAGAATGTTTGGCATTTGGTTAAGCCAACTTTTTTTATTCTGATGTAGCTTTTTGAGTTGTAAATTTGAAGTTCATTCTCTTTCATTTTCCTCCTTTCTCTGGTTCTAATGGTCTAAATAATTCCCTGTGAGTGTGCAGACTGCCTGCATTCAGGCTTTAGCCACTCTCCAACAAACCACAGAGAGGAGTATGAGCCATGTAAGTTCCTTTGCCTTTTTGCTTCCTATGAATCAGGTTGAGATAGATAGTTCATTTTAAGTAGTTATGAATATCAAACAAAATCCCGTCACTCTCACATTGGAATTCCGGTAATGTACTAAGATCATGGAAGAAATACTAATGGTTCCTTCCACCAGCTACCACCTGTGAGACCATTACTGTTTATGTATAATCCCTTAAGTAGGCAGTGCAGTTGCAATTTGTGCACAGTAAGGTCACAAAACTCTTGGAAGATAAACAGCCAGTTACTAGTTTTGGTCAAAAAACCAAAAGAACTGCAGATGTTGGAAATCTGTAACAAAAACAGAAGTCATTGAAAAATCTCAACAGATCTGGCAGCATCTGTGGAGAGAAATCAAAGTTAAGGTTTCTGGTTCAATGACCCTTCTTCCGAACTGTTCAGAACTAGTTTTGGTTATTTTAGTTGATGAATGAATGTTGACCACAATATTGGGAGAATCTCCTGCCATTGAAAAATCACGGTTAAATGTTTCGTCCAAAATTGACAACTTCAGGCAAAGTAGTACTTCCTTAGCGTCATACTGAAAAGCAATTACTTATGTGTTCAAACCTTGGAATGGGATTTGAATATACATCCTTCATTACTATATTTTTGCACTTAACGGGGTGAATTGAGATTCCTAAATCATTAGAATATACCAGAGTCTAGGATTAATAATTTGTCTCTCTTTTCCCTTGTCCCTACAGCTGGGAGAACAATGAAATTGAAAGGCTCAGTCCTTGGGACATGGAACCTATTCCTGAAAATGGTGAGCAGCTGAAGTACTTTGTCCAAAATGAGTGCAAATCTACACAAAATTATTTGAGTTTTAGTTCCATTGCAGGTAACATTGATCAGTTTCAGGGTGATGTTATTTTGGAACTAAACTGTTAATATTTTCTTTTGGCAAACAATCTACAGTCTAAGTAAAATGAACCAAATGTACTATGCAGTTTGCAGAGGGGAAGGCAGTGGTGTAGTGCTAATGTCAATAGACTACCAATCCAGAGCCCAAGCTGGTTCAAATCATGCAATCTGGTAGAACTTAATTTCAGTAAATAAATCTAGAATATAAAAAGTTATTCTTATGGTAATTATGAAACCGTTGGAAAATCATCTGGTTCTCTAATGTGCTTTTGGGAAGGAAATCTGTCCTTCGCTAGTCTGGTCTATGTGCAACTCCAGTCTCAGAGCAGTATGGTTATCCACTGCCCCCTACAATCAGTTCAAAGGCAGTTAGGGATGGCAAATGTGCTGGTCTTCTCAGCAATATGCACAAGAAAAAGTAAAGTCCTGTCAATGGTGAGATAAATTATTTTTATTGCTATTTATTGAAAGATAAATATTTTGTACAACACCTCTGCTCTCCTTTTCTCATGGCATATTCCCAAAAGGGAAAGCAGGACTTCAATTTAATTTTCTCATCCAGCAATGAGGCATGCTCCATGTTCCGGTGGACTATATTTTCATAAGTGGATATAAAGTGTTAATAGGCCTGTCAGCGCATAAAATAAAACAACTTAAGCAAACAAATTAGGAGCAGGTTTTAGTCAGTTGAACCTGCTCTGCCATTCAGTTAGATCAAGGCAGATCTACTTGATTTGAATTCCATGTTCTCATCTACCTCTGATGACCTTTGTTTCTTGCTAGTTAAGGGAATAAAGCTACCCAACCTTGAAAATAATTAACATCCCTGTCTCCATTACCTTCTGTGACAGAATTCCAAAGTATCTCACCTCTGAGAGAAAAAGTTTTTCTTCATCTCTGTCCGAAAAGAGTGACCCCGAATTTTTGAGCACTGGCCCCTAGTTTAGACTAACCTACAAGAAGAAGCATCCTCTCCACATCCAGATTGCTTTTGTCAGGATAATTCATAATTTTATATACATCAATTAAATCACCTGTCTCTCGAGTGGAAACAAGCTGGGCTCAACCGTTCCTCATGCTAGGTGTCAATCTAGCAAACTTCCTTTGCACTGTTATCAATGCATTTACATTGCTTGTGAAATAAAGCAACCAAATCTACACACCATGTTTGAGATGAGTCTCCCCAGTGCCTTGTATGACTGAAGCTTATCATGATTACTTTATCATTTCCTCATTAAAATATAGCATTCCACTAGCCTTCGTGTTTACTTGCATGTTAACTTTTTGTGACTCATGGACTAGAACACATAGATTCCTGTGCATCTTGAAACTAGTCAACGTGAATAAATTCATATTTTCTCACATCATACTCCATCTTTTAGAGCTGTTGAACATTATTTTTGTCCACTCACCCAATCCATTTATATTCAATTGCAACTTCTTTATCTCTGCTTGAGAATTTATGTTTCTGTCTTTGTACCTTCTGCAAATTTAGTTTTTATCAATGGCTTAGATGAGGGACACAAAGACTGGCAGCTAAGACATCTGTGGCACTCGCACATCCTTCCATTTGGGGAAAAGAAACATCCATGCATATGGTGTTTTCTACCAGCCAGCCAATCTTCTATCCATACTAAAATATTACTGTCTACTCCATGAACTCCTGCTTTGTACCTTTTATATGGCACCTTGTTAAAAAGCCTTCTGCAAATCTAAGCACAACTTGCCTACAGGCTCCCCTTTATTCATAGCGCATTACTACTTCAAAAACTCCTATAAATTGGTTAAATGTGATTTATTTTTCATTAAATGATACTAAAGCCTTTCTGATTTCTTCAAGTGTTCTGAGTGCCCAGATATAAGCACCAAGAAGTCAAGCTCACTGGCCTATAGTTTCCTTTTTCTGCCTCCTTCCCTGAATAGAGGGATTACGCTGTGTACATTCTAAGCCGATGAAATCTTTCAAGAATCAAGTGAATTTTGGAAAATTAATGCCAACATATCTACCAGCTTATTAATGACCTCTACTATATATTTTCAATACATTTAACAGAGTAAAAGACCCCAAGATACTTCACAGAAGTAAAGTCAATACTAATTTGATATTTTGGAGGGTTTTAGAGCTGTTGAACATGACAAATATAAGATGGGGTAAGGCAAATTTCAATCAATTGAAGTGGGGGAAAAAAACTTTCTAATGATATAATAAAGATCCAGCTTGTACATACTTGGTAGTGGAAAAGTCCCCCACAGGTGAAATGCAAACTTTTAAGAAATTAAGCACTTGTGGCAATTTCTGCAGTCTGCATAGAAGCTTGTTTTAAAAAGATCTGGCAGTACAGCGATTGTGTTCCCTACCTCTGAGCCAGGAGATGTGGGTTCAAGTTCCACCTGCTCCAGAAGAGTGTAACATCTCTGAACAGGTAGATTTAAAAACGTTAAAAGCTTGTTTTTTTTATATTGAATTAATATAATAGTTGATCAAAGTATGAACTCAGAACTACCTCTTGATATAATTGTAACTTTTGAAACACAGCCAAACATTTTATAGTGACATCATCATAACGTTTGGGGGAATAAAAGACAAAAATGTCAAAACTGCCCAAATGCACTAACTTTTAACCCTCCTAATTCCTTGGTTATGTTCTTTCTTGTTTAATTTATATTCCTCAAGGGTCTTGTCTGATGTGTTTCCTAAACTATACATATGTTTCTATTTTCTTTTTGAATAAGCTTTTAATATTTCTTGTCCTCCAGCATCCCCGAATTTTGTGATTCTTATCTTTCACAGGAACATGCTGATCCTGAATTCTAATCAACTAGCCTTTAAAAGATTCTACTGTCAGATGTGGATTTACCCTCAAACGCCTGCCCTCAATTTAATTTCTCCAGTTCCTGCCCAATAGTATTGTAATTAGCCTTCTTTCACACAAGGACCAGTCTCATCCATATCCGTAACTATGTACTGAGAGAGAAACAAGTACTTGTTATAACTGCTCTTTGATGTTTACACTTCTTTAATTTTTTGAAGATTTATCATTCCAGATCCCTCCCATTAGTACGCCCACAGTATAAACCAACCAGTGGAACCGCCTCCTCTTGTTCCTTAGTTATAAGGCAAATTGACTCCGTTCTTGTCTGGGATATCTTCTTTCTGTAGCACTACAATAATGTCCTTAACCAGTAATGCCATCCTTCCTATTTTTGCTTTCCAAGCTTTTTGGAGAATCTTGTAACTAGGAATATTTAACATCCAGTTCCGCCTTTCCTTGCACCACGTCTCTGTATTACCACAACATCATGGATCCATATGGCGAATCTGCACCTATAACTTACCAATCTTATTAATCATCCTCTGTGCATTCACGTGTGCAATATATCTATCATGTAGACTCCATTTTGTCTTCCTTTCTGCAATTCCACCTGTTAAATTAGATTGAATTCTGCTTACAAAAGTGACTCAGTATTATATATTGTAAACTCATTTACTTCTGCTATGTTGCTTTAAAAACTTAAGTTCTTCAAAATTAGCTGATTTTGAGACACAGACTCTATCAACAGCTGCTCATAAAAGAACAACTTTACACCCCACACATTTCATTTGCTCTCCCACTACTTATCTTGCCAATCATAAATTAAGCTTGCTACGAATGGAGTCTGGCAGGTGTCTGTTGGGGCTTCAACTTTTTTACAATTTACATCTTGGATGAAAGCATGAAAATTAAATTTGTAAGTGACACCAAGATAGGTAGGAAGGTATACAGTGAAGAAGGCAAAAGGAAGTTGCAGATGGATATAGATAGTTTAAGTGAATGGAGAAAAACCTTGCATAGTATAATGTGGGAAAAATGTAAACTTGTTCACTTGGGTAAGAGGAGTAAGAGAAAAGTATTTCTTAATCAGAGAATGACTGCAGAACTTCAAGATGCAGAAATTTCGGGGTTCTGATGCATGAGTTACAAAAGGTTAGTATGCAGGTACGGCGTATAATCAAGAAGACAAATGGGATACTATCCTGTGTTGTGAGAGGAGTTGAACATAAAAGTGCAGATGGTATCCTTTCGTCATAGGGGGCATTGGTGTGAGTACATCCTGAATACTGTGAGCACTTTTGGCCTCCTCATTTAAGGAACGTGGCTCAGAAGAGGTTTACTAGCTTTATCAGCAATGAGTGGGATGTCTCATGAGGATAGGTGGCACAGGCTTGTTTCCACTGGAGTTTAGAAGAGTGAAAAGTGATTTTATTGAAGTGTATAAGATGCTGAACATAAGAACTATAGGAGCAGGATAGGCCATCCGGCCCCTCGAGCCTGCCCCGCCATTCAATAAGATCACGGCTGATCTTTTTGAGACTCAGCTCCACTTACCCGCCCGCACACCATAACCCTTAATTCCTTTACCGTTCGAAAATTTATCTAGCCTTGCCTTAAACACATTCAGCGAGGTAGCTTCAACCGCTTCACTGGGCAGGGAATTCCACAGATTCACAACCCTTTGGGTGAAGAAGTTCCTTCTGACCTCAGTCCTGCATCTACTTCCCTCTATTTTGAGGCTATGCCTCCTAGTCCTAATTTCACCTACTAGTGGAAGCAACCTCCCTGCCTCCACCTTATCTATTCCCTTCATAATCTTATATGAATGATCTTGACAAGGTATGTTAGATCAGAACCAGGGGACACTTAAAATTATGGATCTCTCTTTCAGGATAGATGAGCAACTTTTTTTGAGCATTATGTGAATTTGGAACACTGCTTCAGACTGAGATTGAGATAGGGGGTCAGTGAATATTTTTAAGAGGTGAATAGATTTGTCTAGGTCAGAACTCACATGACACAAGGTTATAGTCCAACGGGTTTATTTGAAAACACAAGCTTTAGTGAGAGAGGTAGTATCAGACACAGAATTTATGAGTAAAAGGTCAAAGGGTCACACTGCTGATGAGGATGTGCTAAACAAACCTAAGTTGCTGTCAAATCTTTAATCAGTTAGAAAGTTTTAATTGATTAACATGTATATGTAAATCCCCAAATTCCTTTGAAGTCATGGTCCTGAGAGAACTAAAGGTTTTATCCATGTAAAGAAGAGGTGACATTTTAGGTCAGATAATGCATGTTAGGTGTGAGGCCTTGTTTAGAATTTGTGTTTTAGTTTGGAGTCAGATTGGTTTTATTTCTAACGTAGGAATTGAAAAAACACCACATTGACTGACACTCAATGAATTATGAGCTTTTTGAACAAAATAAAATGTATCTGCAACTACTAATTCACCCCATAGATTCACGTTTGTGTGAGTGTGGGGTGTGGGGAGGAAGAGAGAGAGAGAGAGAGAGTGTGTGTGTGTGGAGTGGGGTCACCTGTCGTGTAACATGGATAATGTGTTGAAGGCTGCAAAGAACATGATGTAGTTTCTCTGCTCCCGGGAAGTACTGAACGATGAAGGGCACTCTGTCGGACATATCCTGTGTCTGTCTTCTGAAGATGTCATTATGGTTTTTTGCTGTGGCACGCTGGAACTGGCAATGGATGAGTTGAGCATTGTATTCTGTTCCAGTGAAGGCGTCCTTCAACATGTTCGGGTGTCCTTCTCATTCCTCCTCATCAGAACAGATTCCGTATATGCGCAGGGTTTGGCTGTAGCGAATGGCTGATTTCATATGTTTCGGATGGAAGTTGGAGAAGTGCAGCATCATGAGGTTATCTGTAGACTCGTGGTAGAGCGATGCACTGAGGTGTCCGTCCCTGATGGAAGTGCGTGTGTCCAAGCATGAGACGACAACGGATGAATGGACACCGTACAGCAATTGCAAAACAGGAATGTTCCTTCCCAGTGGGGAAACACTTCAGCGTTGAAGGACGTTTGACCTCGGATCTTCAGGTAAACGTCCTCCAAGGTGGACTTCGGGATACACAATGATGCAGAGTTGCCGAGCAGAGGCTGATAGCCAGGTTTGGTACCCATGAGGACACCCGCAACCAGGATCTTGGGTTCATGCCGCATGACAGGTGACCACACCACACTATACACTCTCTCTCACACACACTCCCACAAACACACTCATGCAGACCTCTCTCCATACACAGTCTGTCAAGCCTCTCCTCTCTCTCTTTACCTCTTTCCCCTTCTCCCCCC